ATTGGACGATGTATGGAGTTTAATACGCACCGCGCGCAAAGCGTCATTTTTTTGAAAGTTTACTTTTATCAAAAATTGTTAACATTTGTTTAATTAAAATGTAAATTGGTATAAATGTTATTTGAAGATGTATGGGATTCAATACGCAGCGTGCGCGAAGCGCGCGCCTGTTATGTACTAGTATTACAAATCCTGCAAATATTTATTTTGTTTTCAAGTGACATAAAGTCACATATATTAAATGGCATCAATTTAACATTTAGGTATTCTGAGTCAGTGCGCACATTAATTATGATCACATTTATATGGTATAATCCAAAATTTATAGTAATTTATAGCATTTGCGATATCAGTGTCACATGCATGCAAAGGCTTATCTATAAAATTGAGATAATCGAACAATAATATCATACGATATTAAATCGATTAATAAAAACTTAATTTTTTAACTAACAATCACAAATATCTAGACACAATACGTGTATCGAATTGAATCGATTGGGCTTTGATATAATGTATGTACACATGTTTTTTTTTTCAAAATGTGTGAAAGATTTAATAAAAAATTCTATCTTTGCGTGCACGTGCACAGAGTGCACGCGATTTGTTGGAAACTTTTTTTATTGCGCGCAACAAAAACATACATATGTTGCTACTTATCGCAATTGTGCACAAGTTGATTGAAATCGCATCTTCAGAAACGTACGTAGCAGCTTTGTTAGCTTTTTCGTAAAACTTTTTTGGCAATATCGCTTAATTATTGCTGGCAAGCGCGTACCGAAATATATATTATCACAGGAATACCGCGCGCGCGTTTCTGTTTTTAACTTTATTTGACAATGACGCGTCAATTGTCATTGACTATACGTAAAGAGGAGACTTTAATCTCATATAATAGCAGATTCGGTATTCATCAAGATTTTACAATATCTAACAATTTTTGTCTCTTTCTCTCTCCAAATCTCTCTCTAAATCTCTCAAAGTTGTCGGAGAACAAGGTTCTGCTCGTCTCATCGTCGAGTTCGATAAACTAATTGTAAGGTCGCAGTCAGTATAATAATATTATATCGCTAAGACTCGAGAGACTAGCGATAAAATCGTAGTGAACTCTTCTCAAAACGTCCGCGCGTCGGTGGATAACGAATGCCAAGTGTCGGTCTCTATCAGCGTTATCATTGCCGTCTGATTAGGGTCGCGCCTTGAGAGTCTTGAGACATTGCGAGTCCATCGTGTCGTTACGACGTACGCGCAACGTCTTCAAAGTATAAAATTTTACAAAGTTCTTTTCGTAGCGCCCAAGAATCGAGATCGAGGTAAAATTACCGCCAAATGAATCCGGTATCCGGTGATGTCAGATGAGAGATACGCGACGAAAAAAGAGAGATCGATTGGAGTGTCAATCATCAGCAAACATTACTATCAAGCGTCAGAACAGTCAAGTCAAATTTCCGTCTTATAGAGTGAAATTCCATTACCGTCGCAAACGAGGATAAAGATCGTGCGCGTTTGAAGTTTGAAGCGCCAAAAATCATAAGGCATTAAATTAGCAGCGAGACAATGTTCGGCAATGCCGTGCAAGCGAAGCTGGCGTCGATGGTGCTGATCGGCGTCGGTAGCTTTATCATCGGCATCGCACCTGCCTGCTTTGTCTCGCGTACTCGTCATCTCCAACGGAAGCTGCTGCTTTCCTGTGCCCTGTGCTTTGGCGCAGGTGTCCTCCTAGCCACCGCGATGCTTCACGTACTACCGGAAGTGCGCCAAGGTCTACCGGATTACGCCGAGCTGGTGTTCTCCTGTGGCTTCCTCGTATTGTATTTAGTCGAGGAATGCGTACACTATTTTTGCCGAGACAGTGATCATGGATCTGAGATGCAGGATTCTCGCTCAATTCTAGGCTCACGGATTTTAGGATTGCGCACGAGCGAGGGTAGGTACGTGCTGAGGGAACTTGTACTATTATTCAGTTTCTTTGAATATGCTCGCATTTCATGAACGTAATGATACTATAATGATGTGCTTGAAAAATGATCGATAGAAAATTTATGATGCAAAGTGGTGAATGCGAATTACAAAGTTATTTTGCAATCTGCTGCACCTCTCTTATTCTTTCGACTATATATGATTTTGTATAGACTATGATTATATAATTATATATATATATATATATATATATATATACATATATATATATGCATATAAGATCTCATATATACATAATTCTGTTAATGTAATATGAGAGTAATATTATAATCTAATTTCTAAAAAACCAATTCCTTGGTTTATTTCCGAATATTTGCATGTATGTATATAGATATATGTAACGGCATGCATGGCATCAATCGTTGAGAACATAATTAGATTTATGTCTAGTATCTTCGATAAGCAATGAGATGCTTATCGAATGCATCGAATGATTAACGAAATTTTTGAGGGATTATCATAGAAATATAAAAATTCAGCGTCAGTTTTACGTGAATATTTACGTGAAAAATATTTTTATAACAGGCAATCGATATCATTAAATAATTCTTCTAGTTTGAAATGCAAAATTCATATGAATGAAGAAAAATAAATTAACAAAGCTGTGGTGTATGTATGTATACATATGCAAGTTAATTTAATGCAAGAATTGTTTATGATCGCGCATTATCGGCGATAATAATTTTATCTAGAATTTTTTAACTCTTTCCTTATTATTAAATTGGTTATTACTTTAAATGAAATCTCGTTAAAATATATCTAATTTTAACGAATTGAGAATGACAATTGAAATTTCAAAGCTTTCATTATCGCCTCGTTGGGAAGCGAACATACGATCGCCTTCGAGATAAATTAATGGATCGTAGCAAACGTAAAAGACCACACGATGGTGATATAATGATCAATGATACGTTATTTTTAACTACTTGGCTTTGTTTGGCCGAATGGAATTTGTCGAAATAAATTCTGGAGTTACGAATGGCAGCGCGGATATTTTGCGTGTATAAAACGAGTGTTTAGTCGCATTCAAATGAGCTATCCTTGGCCTCTAAAAATATCAAGATAAAAAATGGACATGATGAACTCAGCAAACTTATACCGCAAGGACGTCAACGAAGAATGATCACTCGAGTCGTGTCCATAGTTGGATATCGATATCAATTTCCGATGTTGTCTATTCTCAAGATTGCTATCGACACTCGAAGTTTTCTATCAATTCTGTCTGTAATATAAGCGTCGAGATCATATTTCAATACACTCAAATATATAATCGACGCAAGTTTTGTGTTTATGTTTAAAAATCAGCTATTTGAAAGCTTGTCACATTTTTTTTTATTTGATCTTTAATTATATTTATATATTCTTTTAACATCTGTTTGAAATTTTTTTTGGACAAATTGCGTGCATGCATAATATACATGTGCAATATAGTAGAAAGCTCCATCACTCCATTAGGAGCATATGTCAAAATACACTTTGTTTCTCTTGTCGATTTCTTTGTAACGATGTAATGACATTCTCGCAATGATAGCTAGGATATTCTCGACAATATATAAATTGTAGATTGATTTAGCTTAGAAGCATTTGACGATGGAAGACGAAATTAAGTTAAATGTTTAAATGTTCTCGTTTCCCATGCGCGTTTCTCCCTTTAGATCTCGGTTTTACTTCCTTTGATCGAATTACGTCTATCTTGAATTTCAGTTGTTCAAACTGTCGGAATCACTCTCATGGTATCGGTTACAATGCCGCCACGCAAGACAACAAAATTTACATGTCTGAGGGCGACATGAGATTACCGCTCAACTATCGACAAAATTCTCTTGGTAATAGCTCCAATAATGCGTGGACGTTTACTAATTACGGCGCGACGCAACGCAACACGAGTGACTGTCGTTTGAGATCGACGAGCGAAGAAAATACAGTTTTGTGTCATGGAAATCACAGTGAGCAATGTACCGATGCCAATACCAGTCTCGCCGGTCTCACCCTCGCCCTCACTGTACACGCCGTCCTCGAAGGTCTTGCGATAGGATTACAGATGAAAATCGCTGAGGTATGTGAACACGTTGCTAATTACTATTTAGTGTAATAAATAGTAATGAGCGAGAAAAGGTAAATTGGAATTGCGAGATAATAGCAGTAGCGAATAGAGGTTCAAGTGTAGTGTAGTTACAAGATTATTTTCATGTTAAATTTGCATTAAATTTGCATAATTTTTAAATGTGTGTAAATTTAATTACAAAGAGAGAGAGAGAGAGAGAGAGAGAGAGGAGAGAGAGAGAGAGAATATTACATGTATTATCTCTACAGAGTGTACATACATTCTCTGTGCATTATATTGCATATTTATGAAGCAAACAAAAACGGGTACACGGAATATTATTATACAGGATATCTCGTAACTCATAACACTCATGTAAGATCCATATGTACATATAAACAGAGACACTTATTATAATATCAATTTTATCGCAGATTTTCCGAATAAATTTCATTTTCGTATGCATACTATATTATTTGTACACACGTACATGTACATTTTTTCAGGTGTTATTATTAACTGGAGCGGTAGCATCGCACAAGTTTGTTATCGGTTTCTGTTTGGGATTGGAATTAGCAAAAGTCAATAAATCTGTCCTTAAATTAATATTTGCAATTTTTTCATTTGCCATCGGATCCGTTATCGGAATCGGCATCGGTATGCTAACGTTTCAGGTGAGAAAACTGCACTTGTCTCTGGATAACATATCTACTTGGAAGAGTATAATCTAATTCTAACGTTCATTTTCAATGCGCATAGGCAAATACAAATTGGTCCAAAGTGGTATTGCCAATTTTACAAGGTTTGGCAGGCGGAACTTTGCTATACGTTACCGTAAGCGAAGTTCTCCCGAGGGAAAGGACGAGATGGCATAAAAATTCGCGCAAATTTGCAGGCATTTTACAATTTCTGTCGGTAGTCGTTGGATTTGTTGTCATTTTTCTTCTTAACAACTATATGGGCGAGTGAATTGATTCCAACATTATATAGGTATGTAGTGGCTGTTGCATATACATATTAGGCAGTATGACGGATTGCGCGGCAGACTTTGCAGGAACTTTGCAAACACGACTCACAATCAATAATACTAGAAATTTAAAAAATGTTAAATACTCATTACTTACTGAGCTACGCTTGCTTCTGCAAGTTGCCGCGCAACCTTATACTGCCTAATATATTTATACACCCTGTACGCAATGCAGGATACATTCAGCAGACAAAACAGATCAGTGAGCGGCTGATTGATTCTTTGTTTCTATTGATTTATTCACTCAGAACGAAGAATTAAAGACAAAAATCAAAATATGAAAAAATCATCTGTGAGCACTTACTGATCTGTTTTGTCTGCTGAATGTATTGTACCCTCTGCATTATGTACAGAGTGCATAAATATATTAGGCAGTATAACAGGTTGCGCGGCAGGGGCAGGCGCAGCCCAGTAAGAGTAATGAGTATTTAGCAGGGTTGGGTAAGTTAATATATTTTTTAAACTAAGTTAAGTTAAAGTTAACAGTCTAAAAAATTAACTTAGTTAAGTCAGGTTCGTTCATAATAAAATTAATTGAGTTAAAAGTTAAGTTAATAAAAAAAAGTAATTGAAAAGTTAAAGTAAAATTTTTTTCATTTTATAATTTTAGGATAATTTCTAAATAAAATTTCTAAATAAAGTATATATTTGTTATACTTATTTCTGTCGAGCCACGGAAAGAGGACCGGAAAGAGGACCGATTTCGAAGGACTTCTTCCAACGTGGTTTAATGCACAGAAGGTCGAACAGTGATTACTTCCCGCGGCCAGACTATATATTTATTATATTATTACAATTGCCTTAATGTATGTTCTCAAATTTGAGTTTAAAGACATTAACTTAGACATGTATTTTATTTTGGGTTTACAAGAAGCACTAAAAATGTAACTTCAAGAAAGTTAGATCAACAGCTAATAGTTACCGATAAAATGTAACTAAATTAAGTTAAAAGTTAAAAGTTAAGAGCCTAAAATGTAACTAAGTTAAGTTAAAATTATTTAACTTTTTAACTTAACTTTTATCTTTTTAACTGGCCACTACCCAACCCTGGTATTTAATATTTATTTTAGTTTGTAGTATTTTAAAAATTTTTAGTATTATAGTGAGATGCCCCGCGTCTGCCCCTGCAAAGTCTGCCGCGCGATCCGTCGTACTGCCTAATATGTAGACTTATATGCAACACCCTGTATGTGGATTATAAATAAATGGCAAATACAATATTTCCAAATCGAGTTATTTCAGATTTTTAATGTGTGTCTTTTTAATGTGTACTAATTACACTGTGTATATTTTCACAAAGTTGTATGATGCAAACAATAATACGCGAATAGATGTTGTATCGGATTAGACCGCCAATCAATTAAGTGTCTGATATTTCTCTCTGAGTATTGGAGAATATAGAAGCAAGCATACATTGAATAGAATCTTTGTAACTGCACAATTCTTATTATGCTAATTCTTACGATATTAATAATTTAATATTTTAATAATTCATTTGATTGATATAAGTATATATAAGTATATATAAACAATACCTCTTGTAGATTTATTTGTACTAGTTTATTTTTAAATATAATAAAATTAAATTCGCGACCGAAATATCAAACTCTTCAAATGCAGTGATGAATATGATGACTTTACATTTTTAAATATTGTGTGTATAAATAGTAAATTAAATTCCACGCATAAAAAAAAAATTAATTAGAATATTTATTTTATCTTCCGTTCCCCGTATGATTACGCTACAATTCTTTTTCAGATTGTTCAACGTACGTTCTACAAACATATACGGTAACGAATTCTAACCGTTGTTTTATCGTCGAAATTAAAAAAATGTATATATACAAATATTAATAATAATTAACGAGGCCGCGGCGTAAATGAATAAATTTCGTAGGTGTACTAACAAATATATTTCATTTGTATCAAGATGTGCAAATATCTATAAATGTTACTGCATTTACAGATATCTGTACATCTTGATATAAATGAAATATATTTGTTAGTATACCCACGAAATTTGCTCGTTTACGACCTCATTAATTATTATTAATATTTGTCTTTGTAATTACGAGCAATATTTAGATTAATATATATATAATACTTCCCGAGAGTTATTGAAATATAGGTATAATAAATAAATTTTTTATTAGTGCGACAAACAGTAATACGAGAAAGACAATATTTTTTGGTTAGTACAGTTTAAAAGTCAGCTGCCTGCTAAGTCGTGAATATTTCTATACTTCTTTTATGTCGTTCTGAGATGATTATCTGTTATTGTGTAAAGAATGCCTCTTAATTTCTCCTCGATTTTCGATCTCCCGCATGCTTGCGATATGTTTTGCAAGAATTGCAAGAATATCATTGCAGTAGATGTTTCATAGTTCCGAGAGGTCCGACAACGCAACTTTCCGCGAGAGAGAGAGAGAGAGAGAGAG